TGGTGTGCGTGGTGTGCGTGGTGTGCGTGGTGTGCGTGTTGTGCGTGTTGTGCGTGGTGTGCGTGTTGTGCGTGTTGTGCGTGGTGTGCGTGGTGTGCGTGGTGTGCGTGGTGTGCGTGGTGTGCGTGGTGTGCGTGTTGTGCGTGTTGTGCGTGTTGTGCGTGTTGCGCGTGTGCGCGTGTTGCGCGTGTGCGCGTGTGCGCGTGTGCGCGTGTGCGCGTGTGCGCGTGTGCGCGTGTGCGCGTGTGCGCGTGTGCGCGTGTGCGCGTGTGCGCGTGTGCGCGTGTGCGCGTATGCGCGTGTGCGCGTGCGCGCGTGTGCGCGTGCGCCTGCGCGTGCGCGTGTGCGTGTGCGCGCGTGCGCGTGCGCGTGCGCGTGCGCGTGCGCGTGTGCGCGTGCGCGTGCGCGTGCGCGTGCGCGTGCGCGTGCGCGTGCGCGTGCGCGTGCGCGTGCGCGTGCGCGTGCGCGTGCGCGTGCGCGTGCGCGTGCGTGCGCGTGCGCGTGCGCGTGCGCGTGCGCGTGCGCGTGCGCGTGCGCGTGCGCGTGTGCGTGTGCGTGTGTGGTGTGCGTGTGTCGTGCGTGCGCGCGCGCGCGCGGGCGCGGGCGCGGGCGGGCGGGCGGGCGGGCGGGCGGGCGGGCGGGCGGGCGGGCGGGCGTGCGGGCGTGCGGGCGTGCGGGCGCGTGCGTGCGTGCGTGCGTGTGCGTGCGTGCGTGCGTGCGTGCGTGCGTGCGTGCGTGCGTGCGTGCGTGCGTGCGTGTGTGCGTGTGCGTGTGCGTGTGCGTGTGCGTGTGCGTGTGCGTTGTGTGCGTTGTGTGCGTTGTGTGCGTTGTGTGCGCTGTGTGCGTTGTGTGTGTTGTGTGTGTTGTGTGTGTTGTGTGTGTGTTGTGTGTTGTGTGTGTTGTGTGTGTTGTGTGTGTTGTGTGTGTTGTGTGTGTGTGTGTTGTCTGTGTTGTCTGTGTTGTCTGTGTTGTCTGTGTTGTCTGTGTTGTCTGTGTTGTGTGTGTGTGTTGTCTGTGTTGCGTGTTGCGTGTGTGTGTTGTGTGTGTTGTGTGTGTTGTGTGTTGTGTGTGTTGTCTGTCTTGTCTGTGTTGTGTGTTGCGTGTGTGTGTTGTGTTGTGTGTGTGTGTGTTGTGTGTGTGTCGTGTGTGTGTGTGTGTTGTGTGTTGTGTGTTGTGTGTGTGTGTTGTGTGTTGTGTTGTGTGTGTTGTGTGTGTTGTGTGTGTTGTGGTTGTGTGTGTGTTGTGTGTGTTGTGTGTTGTGTGTTGTGTTGGGTGGGTGTGGTGGGTGGGTGGGTTTTGGGGCGGTGGGTGGGTGGGTGGGTGGGTGGGTGGGTGGGTGCGTGTGTGCGTGTGTGCGTGTGTGCGTGTGTCCGCGTGTACGTGTGTGCGTGTGTGCGTGTGTGCGTGTGTGCGTGTGTGCGCGTGTGCGCGCGTGCGCGCGTGCGCGTGTGCGCGTGTGCGCGTGTTCGCGTATGCTCGTGTGCGCGCGTGCGCGCGTGCGCGTGTGCGCGTGTGCGCGTGCGCGTGTGCGCGTGTGCGCCTGTGCGTGTGTGCGCGTGTGCGCGTGTGCGCGTGTGCGCGTGTGCGCGTGTGCGCTTGTGCGCCTGTGCGCCTGTGCTCCTGTGCGCCTGTGCGCCTGTGCGCCTGTGCGCCTGTCCGCGTGAGCGCGTGTGCGCGTGTTCGCGTGTGCACGTGTGCGCGTGTGTGCGCGTGTGTGCCTGTGTGCGCGCGTGCGTGTGTGCGTGTGTGCGTGTGCGCGTGTGTGCGTGTGTGCGTGTGTGCGTGTGTGCGTGTGTGCGTGTGTGCGTGTGTGCATGTGTGCGTGTGTGCGTGTGTGCGTGTGTGTGCGTGTGTGCGTGTTTGCGTGTGCGTGTGTGCGTGTGCGTGTGCGCGTGCGTGTGCGTGTGCGTGTGCGTGTGCATGATCATTTTGATTCCTCTTCTTTTTTTAATTTTTTCAATACGTCCCCTGAGCCCCCCCCACCGGGCCGCGCACATGCCTCGGGCATAATTGGCGAGCCCCCCTCTTGGACGCCCCCAGCTGGGCGCGCCCGAACGCTGGGGTCGTTGTGAACCGGTGGCCCCCACACTCTAGGCTTCCCAGATGTCGATCACAGGCTCTCGTTTCCAAGGTAGCGTGCCGCGCTGGCGGCCCGCGCAAGCCCCCGCGTAAGGTCGCTGCGCCATCTTGCGTAGGACCCGTTTCTTATCGTCGCTCACGCTGTGAAGAAATTTCGACGTCGGCGATGGCTCCCGCCGCGGTCAGGGGTAACGCTGGGGCCGCCACGAATCGGCGGCCCAAAAATTCTAGGCCTCCCAGATGTTGTCTAAGTAGATGCAGGGCTGGACCTAAACGTTGTTTTGCTGCACTTCGGCTGTGGTTTGCGTTTCGTTTTTGACAGAGGGGTACAGGAACACAGGTAGGGCAAAACGAGCAACAAAACGAAAAACAATGTTTAGGCCCAGCCCTGGAAGTAGATGGGTTCGAAGGATCGCGCATCGTCGATTCACCGGCGCAGCGCTGTGTCGCCGTGAATCGGCGGCGCCCACTGAGGAGGTGTCACCGGGGTAGGGGGCCCTGAAAGGCGGCGGGGCTTCTAAGAAGGCTCTTTAGTCTAGTACACGCCGGTCGCTGAAAGTAGGTATCTCTGGATTCTTCAATCCCAATCTACGTCTAGCGCCTTCCTACTTCAATGATCGACCTGCTTTCGCTGTGTGTGTTGTTCTTCTCTGGGAGGGACTGAACCCAACCTACTTGATCCGCCTGCCGACTTCATGTTTGTACCCACTGCCTCCGACCGACGCGTAAGCTTCTCAGAAGCCCCCGGGGCCCTCTCAGGAGGCCCCTCCTTTCTAAGAGGCTCCTCCGCCTCCTCGGACGCCCGACCCCCTTGCGCCACGCCTTCCCGGGCGCCGCCGGGCGAAGGTTAGACGAGTTCTGCAGGAAACGGGCCCTTCGGGGCCCTCGAAGAGGGTCCCAGGACCGTCAAACGACGCTTCCCGCGTGCTGGCCCGAAGACCACCAGGGACAAGGGGCTGGCGTAGGGGGAGCGCTGCGACCCCCGATCGCCCAAGGTTCGCCGATGCGGGCCCGATCGCCCAACCCGCCCAGGAGCGTGCGGATTCGGCATCGGCGGCCGATCATCGCAGATCTCTCGGCGATGGCTCGCCGATGCCAGCTCGATGTCTATCCCCCCTGAGCTGCCTCCCCTGACGTTGCTCCTTACGCTCAAGTCGGGCGTATCCCTCTACAGGAGGAATCTTCAAGAATGATTAAAACATAGTCTGGGACGTTTTTGTTGGTTAGGTTTGCGTATGTTAGAGAATGTGTTTGGCCATGTTTTCTTTGTCGTCCAAGATCCGCCTGTAGGAGGACATGCCCGACCTACCCTTACGCAGTTGTTCGGGAGGTGGGCAGTAGCGGCGTTTCGGGATCGCACGCGGGGGGGGTGAGGAACCAGTCGTTGGTTCTCTCAAAGGTCTTCTCGCGTCGGGATGTTTTCCGGCAGCTGTGGCTCGCCGACGGCGTTCGACGGGGTGCCCGAATCGTCCCGAACGGCCGCCAGAGGCCCAAGTGATGGGCAGAAGACCATCAGGCGGCGAAGAGGGGTGTGAGATCCGAGGGGGGGGGGGATCATGACCATATAGCCCTGGTCGCCTCCCACCACCTCCGACCGACGCCTCGGAGGCGCGTCTCTGGGCGTCAGAGGCGGAGGCGCGCCTCCGCTGTTAGACGCGGCTCGGGGCGTCGGAGGCGTCGGAAACGCGCCTCCGACACCTCCGACGACTCTGGCGCCTCCGACGCCTCCGACGCCTCCGGAGTTGGAGCAGCATGAGCCCATCATGGCTGGGGCCACTATCTCTCACGTGCCAAGGACCCCCCCCTGTTACCTCGACACACCACGTGGCCTTACGTCGGGCATGTCCCTCTACATGGGGGAGGTTCCAAAATGGTCCAAAAATAGTTGGAGAATATTTATTGATTTTTCGTATTTTTGTCGTATGTTTGATTTTTCGTCCAAAATCCCCCTGTAGGGGGACAGGCCCGACCTGAGCGTGGCCCCCGCTCGCCCCCGCACACGCCGCGGGCCCTGATGCACGCCCCCCCCCTCTGCCTGGCTGGCCCCCCTCGTCGACGCACCCGAGTCACACGGGGGAGCGGGGAGCGGGGGCGGCCAAAAGGGGGGCGGCTCCGGAGGAGCCCGCGCGAATGACCCTCAACGGCACCGCAACGGGTACTTACTAACGGGTACTTTGAATTGTTGCCGAAAGTTGCCACTTTAGGGCCTTTTTCTTGCATTGCAGCTTTGCCCACATCGGGAAGGGTTGGGTTCGCTGGGTCACTGGCCAAAGTACCCGTTAGTGGAGTCCCCGTTTGAGGGGCGCTGAGACCCAGGCCCGCGTCGGCGTGGATGGGCCTTTGCCCACCTTGCCGCCTGGCGTCAGGGCCCCGCTCGGGACCCAGTCGGGGCCGCGAGAGGCACCGCGGGAAGGCTCCCAGGGCCAGAGCAGCCCAGCCACCGCCCAGAGCTGCTCGCCCTCATCAGCTGGATAGAGGACTCAGTTGAGATTTGCGACCTACCAGCTGATGGCGACCTCAATCTCATCACCGACTCGGCGCACGCTGCGCATGGCGCGGAGCGGCACATCGCCCGTAAACCTTGAGCGAACCGTGATTTTTGGAAGAGATTTCTAGTCGCCCTTGCGGGGCGACGCGTCTTTTTGCCATGAAGCTGAGAGCCGCGTCGTTGCCGATAGAGCCGTAGATCGTGAGTTGCTTGACCCGTGGGTCGAGGCGAATAGTTAAGCTCCCCGATATCCGGGCGGCCCGGGCTAGAGGAGAAAGTTGCCATAGGCAGGAAACGATTCTGCATTGTCCTACAGTCGGGGCCCCGAAGAAGTAACCCTTTTCGTTGGGGAGGGGCTCCGTGTTCCTTGATTGCTTCACAGCTTGCCTTGGGTTTTCCTTTGGTTTTCGATGGGGAATCGAAGTTCAACTTGTGGATGAAAGGGGCCTCGTTCCTTATTTAGGGTTCCTTGGGTCAACGCTCCGACTGTAGAGCATGTTACGCCAGAAGCCAACCAGGCCAGGGCTCAAGCTGAGCGACTCCCACCCTGGACCGAGCTTGGCTCGCCCCGCCTCAGGTGCCCTTCGGAAAGCACTGGCCCCTGGCGTGCGCCGCCCGACCGCACCAGTGATTAGAAAGGGTAAGAGGAGGAGGAGGAGGAGGAGGAGGAGGAGGAGGAGGAGGAGGAGAAGGGAGGAGGAGGGAGGAGGAGGGAGGAGGAGGGGGTCCAAGCGTCATGTTCGGTGCGTTTGAGCCGCGTTGGGGGGGAGGGCGCGCGTCCTGCAGTGGCCGTCGGCCCCCTGCTGCCCCATGGCCGAGCCTGGGCAGGGCGGGGCTCTCTGGGACAGATCTCTGGAGCCCACGCGAGGCTCCGAGCGGGGGGGGCGCTTTCCTCGTCCGAGCCGGGGTATTGTGGCCCACGAGCGGATTCCTACAGTCGGGGCGCTGAACGAGGAACCCTTCTCGTTGGGGAGGGGCTCCGTGTTCCTTCTTTGTTTCGCAGCTTGCCTTAGGTTGTCCTTAGGTTTTCGATGGGGAATCGAAGTTTAATTGTTCACGCTTCGCGAATCCCCACCAGCCCATCCTAAAACAGCCACTTTAGCAAAGAGTACCGACTGTCGGGATTTGTTGATCATCTTTTCAGCAATGATGCCCAGAGGAGTTGCTTTGATTCGATCAGGGAAGTGTGGGAGCATACAGAGAAACGAAGGACAGGGGATGCCGCCATATCCCAAGAGGGGAGGATGGAGGAGGAATCGGAGGAGGAGGTGGGGTAGGGGAGGAGGGAGGAGGAAGAGGGGGAGGCGGACGAGAAGGGGAGGACTAGCAGAAGGGCCAGAGGCCTCTTGGATGCATCGCGGAGTCTCTTGGGATGTCTTTTGGGAGCCTCTTGGACGCCTTTTGGGGCGTCTTGGGGGCCTCTTTGCGGCCCCAGGGGCTTCTAGGAGCGTCTTGGGTGCCTTGGGGGAGCCTCTTCGGGCCTCTTGGGAACCTCTTGGAGGCCGTTTGGGGCGTCTTGGGGGCCTCTTGGCGGCCCCAGGGGCTTCCAGGAGCGTCTTGGGTGCCTCGGGGGAGCCTCTTGGGGCCTCTTGGGGGCATCTTGGGGGCATCTTGGTGGCCTCTTGGAGGCCTCTTGGGGCCTCTTGGGGCTCTTTGGGAGGGGTCTGGGAGGTATCTTGGGGCCATCTTTCGGGCGATCGATCACAGATGGGGCGAGCACTTTTCTCCCCCCCCCCGTCGGGGCCAGAATCCTCGTGAGGGGTGTCGAATTTTAGCCCTCCCAGGAGTCGAAAAAGACCCCTCCAACGACCCGCGGGACGCCCTCTCCAGGCCCAGGGGGAGGGGGTAGGGGGAGGGGTAAACCCCTCCCCGAAGGGGAAGAAGGGGGTTGAGAACAGAGCGGGCTCTCTAAACCACTCACGCCCAAAGGGCTGGTGGGACTTGTGAACAAAAGGGGCCTCGTTCCTTATTTAATCGCGTCGCTCATTCCGCCGGCCCATATTGTCGCACCGTTGTGGGCTAGCCGAGTTTTGGGGCCTCTTGGGGGCCGTTTTGGGGCCTCTTGGGGCCTCTTTTGGGCCTCTTGGGCGCCTCTTGGGGCGTCTTGGGGGCCTCTTGGGGGCCTCTTGGGGCCTTTTTGGGGCCTCCTGGGCGCCTTCTGGGGCGGAGGGCTCGATTTTTCAGTTCTCGGTTCCCCTCTTGAGCCCCTCTTGGGCCCGTCTTGGGGCCTCTTGGTCCGTCTTGGGCGGCACTTGGGCCGTCTTGGGGGCCCTCCTGGGCCGTTCCGGGGCCGTCTTGGGAGCCTCGTGGGCCGTCTTGGAGCGGTCTTGGGGGCCTCTTGGGCCGTCTTGGAGCGTCCGGAAGCCGAAAAAGCCAGAACGCAAAAAACATAGAAAAAAACAATGAAATCAACGATTTTGGCCTCTTGGGGCCCTCTTCGGAGGCCTCTTGGAAGGCCCTTGGGGCGTCTTGGAGGCCTCTTGGGCTGTCTTGGGGGCTGTTGGCGTCTTCGGGCGATCTTTGGCCGTCTCGGGGCCCTCTTGGACCGTCTTGGAGGCTTCTTGGGGGGCCTCTTGGCCCGTCCTGGGGCCCTGTAACAGAACTCCGGCATCTCTGACCCGACCTTGCCGGGGACTTGCCGGGGACCTTGACCGGGGTACTTTTCGTCTGGGGACCCCCAGGGGCCGCCCCGCGCGCGCGAACTAGAAATACTGTTAACCAGGTACAGGAGATCTTAGCACGCCCTGGCCCGTTGGGCCGGCGAATTTAGGGTTCCTTAGGTCAACGCCCCGACTGTACGTCTGCAGCAGTTGCGGCGACGTGCGTGCACGGGAGGGCACGGCCCTCGGGAACCTGGCCAGCCCGTGCAAGCCTCGGACCAATGACGGGCCAAAGGTATATATGGTCAGGGAGCTCCCGTGCCGCCGCAGAGTGCCAACGATTGGGCAGGCCTCCGTTCACATCGGCGGGGGAGCAAAGGCAAAACCATGCCTGTCGTCGACGACCCCGGGCAATGCGCAGCAGCGCAATCCAAAAAAAATCGTCGTCGTCGTCGTAGTCGTCGTCGTCGTCGTCCTCGTCGTCGTCGTCGTCGTCGTCCTCGTCCTCGTCGTCGTCGTCGTCGTCGTCCTCATCGTCTGCGTCGTCTTCGCCGTCGTCGGTTTGGCATTGGGTAACCTATAGGAAGCCTGCGCGCAGGCCGCCGCGGCCACGAGCCTGCCTCGGGAAGCTGCCAGGGGGATGGCCGCCGCAGGTGGCCTTCTTCATGGGCTTCGGCGGCACGGTCCAGAACTTCTCCACGCTGTCGGGCCAGCCCCGCCGGCCGCCGGCGGGCATGCGCAGCCGCCGCCTCCTCCCTGAGATCTTGGCGCTTCACTTTTGCGAGCCAGACGTCGTCTCCTCGTTTCGAGCCTCGGGGCCCTCACAGGTCGATCCGGCCGGAGACACAGCGAGGCCACGCGGGGTTTGGGGCTCTGGTCTGGATGGTTTACGACGCTGCGGTTTTGTGCGAACGGGTCCTGATGGGAAGCGGGCCCTCAGGTGTTTCGCCGTTGTGGGCTTCCCTGGGCCATCCAGGGGCCCAGAAGTCCCGGTGATCCTGACCACCGCCCCCTTGGCACCTCGTGGCGCCGGCTCCTCGCATCCAAGACTTCTATCGGAACGGGGCGGACCCCCGCCGGGGAGAACGGAGAGCGGACAACGTTCTGGCCCACAGGTGCGGCTGTACGTTTCGGTTTACGAAGGAGTCCCCGCTTACGGGGCCCTGGGTAGCGTCGGATCTCGGGAGGAGGAGGAGGAGGAGGAGGAGGAGGAGGAGGAGGAGGAGGAGAAGGAGGAGGAGGAGGAGTTGGAGGAGGAGGAGGAGGCGGAGGAGGAGGAGAGCCACCCCCGCGGGGGAACAGGCTGAGGGTTTGCCCCCTTTTGCTTCCCTCCTCGGCGCGCCGCCGATGCGTTTTATATGTTCAAAACGTTGACCTCTTCTGCCAAAAGCAAACCTCTAAATAGTAACAGCAATGTCATAACACATGTAAGGTTTGAGGCCTTTGGTCAAGTGTGCCTCTAGAGGTAAAGTGGGCTATCCCACATGCAGGCCGAAGATGAACTCATCCCGCGCCGCCTCCCTGACGGCCCTGGGCCTGGGAAGCGGCACCCACAGGGCCGAATGACGACACCACTGATCGCCGATAGGCCCAAGTCGGGCGTGCCCCTCTACAGGAGGAACATCAAAGAATAGTCAGAGAATTAGTCAGGGGCCGACTTCTCGACGAGTCTTGAATATTTCTGAATATTCTGTGCTGTGGCTACTTTGTTAGTTTTTCCTTCAAGGTCCGCCTGTAGGAGGACACGCCAGACCCAACGATGGGCGGGAGCGTGTGGTCTCTCTGTCGGGGGCCCTTCGCCGGTCTGCTGGCGAGGTATCGCCGATTCCGGCTCGGCGTCGCCCCCCCCCGCCGAGCCAGTCCCCCCCTGACCTCAGACCCCCGACGTCGTGATTTTTGTTCGACGTGGACCCCCAGAGTCGCCTTTTGCTCCCCCACGCGTTCCCCGAAGGCTCTCCAAACCGACTCGGGGAACAACTGGCCCGCTAGCTTGGCCAGGCTCTAGCCCAGCTGTCAGCCACATAGGCGCTTCCACAAGGGCAGGGGGCGGCGGTGATTCGCCGTAGGCGTCTTCGATCCGCCGCCCCCTGTCGATTCATCGCAGGGGTGTCTGGCGTGCTAGACCCTTTCGGTTTTGGCTTTGGTTTTTTTCCAGAAGAACGGCGGCAAGAGAGGGGGGGACGAGAATGAGAAGGCCTTCTCAGAAGGCGGCGGGATTTCTCAGAAGCCCTCGCGCCTTACCTTCTGAGAAGTCTTTTTATGTCTTCGGGGAAGGCTTGGAAAACTTCTTAGAAGGCCGTGGGACGTCCGAGCCTTCTGAGAAGGCCCGCCCCTTCTCACTTACCCCCTCGCTCGCCGCCTACAGAGGTCTGGACCCCGTCCTGGGGACCGGCTCTTCATCGCCATCGCCAGCGGCACGAAAGTGTTTGAACTATCACGGGGCGCCTTCACACCTCGTGGCAAGCATCTGGACGCTTGCTGTTGAAAGCTGTGGCCGAAAAAGTTTGGTTTCATAATGGTTAAATCCATGAGTTGACGCTCTGGCCGAGAGGCTCTGCAGCAGCACTCACGATGCCGCGTGGCCGGCGCCCTCGTCCCCCGAGCGGCTCGCGGCCTGCTTCGGTGGGAGAGGGCCTCAAGGCACCCTCACCATCATTTAAAGAGTTGATTGGAACAACTTCCGCCGGACATCAGCGATGACCTGCTCGTCGTAGTAGTGGGCCAGTTGCTCCGCGGTAGTAATGTGCCAGCCCCGAAATGTTGTTCGTCCTGTGAGAAAGAACTGGCATGCTACATTTACCACGCTGTAAATACCCTTTTGGATAATCCACCTCAATCGCTTCGACCAGTGATTGCTCAGGCACTTCGATGGAGCTGGCCGCGTCCGACTCGAGTGAAGAGTCGGACACCCTCGCCTCCACCTCCATCGATGTCGTCTTTTGAACGTGCTGGGGACTTGGGACCCCAGTCCACAACAGAAGAAGCAACGATATAATCATCCATGGGGTACAAACATGCTGGTGCGGATGGAAGATGAAATTCAGTATCAATGGTGAAACTTGGGTGGAGAGGCTTACCGGCTCTTCATCCCGAGTCGTGTTTTGATGGCGCCGAGGCTTGGAGCGGACCCTTGATGGCAGAACTCAGCGAAACAGCACCGTCGTTATGTGTGTGCCCGCTCACGACGCGAGGGGGCCTGTCGGTGGCGGGCCCCCCGGGGGAACGTGAGAAGTGGCGGGCCTTCTCGGCAGGCTCGGAAGGCCTCTGGCCTGCTGATCACCACCACGAAACCACCCCAACCCAACCCCAAGGCCCCGATTTGCCCTCCATTTCCAGTGGGGGGGGGTCGGGGAGCATCGGAAAAAGAAACATCTGAAGCCCGTGCCCCCCCCCCCTCCAACCCGAAACTTGGTCTTCGGATTGGGTTGGGGTGTTTTGGTAGGTAGTCATCTGAGAAGTTGCACAGGCCTTTGAGAAGAAGCAGAGCACTTTTCTCAGACAGTCGGCAACTTCGAGACTTCGAGACGTCGAGTTGGAGGAGGAGGAGGAGGAGGAGGAGGAGAAGGAGTTGCAGCAGTAGGAGGAGGAGGAGGAGGAGGAGGAGGAGCAGGAGGAGGAGGAGGAGGGGACGCTGGATAGGAAGACCAGGAGGAGAAGTATGGGAGGAAGGAGTGAGGAGAAAGGGGGAGGATGAGGCCAGGAGGGAAGGAGGAGTAGGGAAGGGGAGTAGGAGAGAGGAGGAGGAGGAGGAGGAGGAGGAGGAGGAGGAGGGGGGAGTTGGAGGAGGAGGAGGAGGAGGAGGGGGAGTTGGAGGAGGAGGAGGAGGAGGAGGAGGAGAAGGTTGACGACCAGTAACAAGAATCCGACTCTGCCTCGCTCTACCCATCAAAGAGCGATGGCAGGCGGCCGCGCATTCGCAAGAGGGAGGCCCCGCCTCTACCCCTCTGCTCCCGCTGCTGCTGCTGCTGCTACTGCTGCTGCTGCTGCTGCTGCCTTCCATTGCGTTACACTGCTGGCGGGCTGCCCTCTGGAGGCACTCTATGGACTCAGGGGGGCCCAATCAAAATGCTCTTCCCCTTCTCAGTCCGTGGACGCTGCCCCTTCAACATCCAGCTCCAGCGGTGCTGCTGGACATCCGACGAGAAACCTCCATGGCAACTCCTAGCCAAGCAACGCAAATCGCTCGAAATGTGGGCCCCGCACCTCGCACATCCGAGGTTGAAGGCCTCCTCATCAGCTAAGAAAGGAAACATCAAGAGCCTGTGCCCCCTAGGCGGCCCTAGGCTCTTGAACTAAGCATGACAGTGGATTGTTGTGGCCTGGGCAGGCGAGCCTGCTCTTGCGAGCCTTGGTGCACACACCCACTTAGTCTGCCTTCAAAACCAGCCGTGGGCTAGCTCCTGTCCCTCTCCCTCCCGGGGGGGAGAAATACGACGAGGCTCCGACGGAGGATTTGGAGGATGGCGGCCTCCCCCTCGACAGGCTGCGCCACTATTTTTCGAGCAGCCTGCACACCTCTTTGGATTTTAGTCCTGGGCCTCGGGCCCCTCTTAAACTTGTGTTTGCTGCCGCGTGTGGTTGCCAGCTGGGGCCACAGGGTGAGGGCTTCACCTACACATATCAAGAAAACGGTCAGCAATCTGGTTTCCCGTGCAAAATCGTCCACTTCCGCACTGGCAGGGCGGCAATGCATTTGGGCCCCCTGCTTGGCCCCATCTGTCGGCATGGGAATTCCCGAGGGCTCCGAAGTGTTCGTCCGTGCCGGCGCACAACGAGTCTACATTGTGGTGGCCTTATACATCTTGGTGGCCGTCCTCCTTCCTCCTCTGTAGGTACGAACGCTGTCTGGATCACTTCAGGCATACAATTTTTCCTTCTGACCGCTTGACACGTTCACCACCTCCAAGAGGTATCCCGTGACATCCTCATTCTGCTTGGGTAGTCGAAGGCCAGATTGTCAGACTGGAGTGGGCCCCAAGGGCCAATCTGGCCTGGCCATATAGGAGGATTTGGGTTATTCGCCAGACTGGATTCGCGTTGGCTCCCTCGCCAGATAGCCCCCGTTTGCCAGATTGGGCCTGCCAGATTGGCGCCAGATTGGCTTCGACTACCCAGCGAGAAGGTTGTTTGAGTTCTCCGTGAAAAAATGGTGGCCTGCTCATTTTGCTGGCGTGGCAGGTCGGAGTCCACGCTGGGCCTCCGGTAGTGAGTTTCCTGAGGCCTGCGTAGCGCGACTTCCTGTCCGAGGAGGAGGAGGAGGAGGAGGAGGAGGAGGAGGAGCAGGACCAGGAGCAGGAGGAGGAGCAGGAGGAGGAGGAGTTGGAGGAGGAGCAGGAGGAGGAGGAATAGGAGCAGGAGTAGGAGTAGGAGGAGGAGCATATTAGGAGGAGGAGGATGAGGAGGAGGAGGATGAGGAGGATCGGGAGGAGGAGGATGAGGAGGGAGGATGAGGAGGAGGATTATGAGTGAGGTAGGAGGATGATGAGGGAGTTGGAGGAGGAGGGGGAGGAGGATGAGGGAGGTGAGCAGGAGGAGGAGGAACAGGAGGAGGAGGAGGAGGATTTTGGAGGAGGAGGAGGAGTAGTATGAAGGAGGATGAGGAGGGAAGAGGAGTTGGAGGGGTAGGAGGGTTGGAGGAGGAGGAGGAGGAGGAGGAGGAGAAGAAGAAGCAGAACACCTCTCGCAGAAAAAGCCTGGCCCTCCTCGCTGCCCCCCGGCAGCGCGCCGCCGGGTCTCCGGGGCGGTGCCCCCGCGGCCGCGGGGCCGGGCGGCGGCGGGAGTGCAGCGGGGGCCCAGGCCAAGAGCCACCCTGCTCGCCTCCAGGGTGCCCTGGGCTTCCTGGGTGCCCTGGGCCTCTCGGGCCTCGAGGGTTTCTCTCTTGGGTGTTGTCTGTCTTCTTGCTCTTCCCCCTATCCTGAGATGGGGTTCTTGTTATCTCTTGGGCGCCGCCAACCTCTCCTCCTTCTCCTCCCCTCTCCTCTTCATGCCCAGACTTGCCCATACACAGACTGACTGGCACTCAGACTTCCTCATACCCAGACTTACTCACACACAAAGTTGAATGTTTTTGTCTTCTTGTTTTGTTGTCTGTCGTCTTGGGCTTTTGGGGCTTCGAGGGTGTTTGTGCTGTCTTCTCGAGTTGTTTCTGTTCGAGGGCGTGTTCTGTCTTCGCATCCGCGGGGCCGAGCGGCGGCAGAAGTTACGGTGGGGGGCCCATGCCAAGAGACACCCTGCTCGCCTCCACCGAAAAAGAACAAACGCCATACACATAAATTGTCGACGCTCCGCGCGGAGCGTCAGAAGTTTATGTCTATGCCGTGCTCTTCTTCCACTCAAGGGTGCCCTGGGTTTCTTGAGTCTCGAGGGTTTTGCTGCGGAAGGCGCGACATACCCACGCCAAAGAACAAGGGAAGCCCTGGGGCCTCGGGGTGGGGTTGCTTGTGGAGGCTTCTTGCGGTCGAGTCCCTACTGTCGGACGGTGCCCCTCATCCACGCGGCCCAGCTGCGGCAGGAACACGCGGCCGGGCGCCACGCCACGATTGCGAAGGCCCTTACGGCCGGTGCCGCCGACCCTGAAGACGACGGCGCTGGCCGCGACGAGGTAGGAGGAGGAGGAGGAGGAGGAGGACGAGGAGGAGGAGGAGGAGGAGCCGCATGAGGAGGAGGCGGAAGACTCCAGGGTGCCCTTTTCCGTGCCCCTGGGCCGCCAGGAGTGGCCCGGGACGGCCAGCTGGCCCCGCGGAGGTGCGGGGGGGGGCCCACGTCGCGAGGGGAGTCGCGGCGTCGGGGGTCTGGGCCGAGGGGGCCCCCCCCCCTCTCGCCCCCGTCGGGACCCTTGGCATCGCTCGGACGTGTGCATTTCTCTGGACGCCCGAGATGGGCACGGAAAGAATGGGTACGATGCCCAACAGCAGTTCTTGCTCATTCTGAACAGGAGTCGCTGTCCACGCCGCCGCGGCCTGTGTCCATTCGAGACAGAAGGCCGCCTGCCCAACAGCGGCCGCTGTTGGTTTGGGACAACATTTGTTGTTGGGCATTGTACCCATTCTTTCGGTACCCATTTCGGGTGTCCAAAATTTCGTTCCCGGCGAGAACCATCGAGGAGCATCCTGGATCATTTGGCGGAAAATCCACGCACGGAACCGAAAAAGAACACAGGGAAGGGATGTTCGAGCGATGGCCAGGTGACCCTCCCCCCCAGGGGACTCCACGGGGCCGAGCGGCGGCATGACTAGGCTTATGTCGGGCCTGTCCCCCTACAGGGGGATTTTCGACGAAAACTTAAAAATACCCCAACAATATTCCAAAAAGGTCAAACAATACTCGAAAAATAGTCCCAGACTTTTTTTTGATTATTTGGGGGGTATTTGTTATTTTTCGTCGAAAATCCCCCTGTAGGGGGACAGGCCCGACATAAGCCTAGGCGGCCGGGCGCCACGCCACGAGTTTTGTGCCGGTGCTTTCTGCGGCGGGCGGCGGCGAGCGCAGCAGGGCGGCAGCGGCCAGCGGCGGCAGGCGTCGCGTCGAGGTCTGCGTTCTGGGGGGTTTTTCGCCAGGTGTACGTCGGTTCTCGTCGGTTGTCCAGCCTCGGGATGCGTGCCAGCGGCTGCGCCTCGCCGAGATCGGGGGCGGAAAAGAGGGGGGTGATGACTAGGGGGGGTGGATATCATGGCGTGGGCCATGGTATTTCCCCAGATTTCCTGGCGCCTCTTCTTATTTCATTGCGTTCCCGGCCCCCCCGCTGGGCCGCACGCATGCCGCCGGTCATGATGAGAGAGATGGCCCGAAGAGCCAGGCTTTGATCGGGGCAAAGTGGAGGGGGGAATGGGCTCAGCCCTCCGTCGGGTGCAGGTGCTGGGTGCTTTTCACAGGGCCCCCGCCACGCGCCACGGCGGCGACACCAGGGTACGGCTGAAGGACGTACACGTTGGCTGCGCCGAGGGGCGGTCCTTGAGACCTTCCGAGCCCAGCGCGAGGGAATGGGCTCAGGGTCACCACCCACCAAACCACCCCAACCCAACCCGAAGGCCCAAATTTACCCGCGATTTCCAGTGGGGGGGGGGGGGGGTCGGGGAACATCGAAAAAACACGTGTGGAGTCAATCCCCCCCCAACCCGAAATTCGGGTCTTCGGGTTGGGTTGGGGTGGTCTGGTAGGTAGTCAAACCCGATCGTTTCGTCTTACGTCTCACGTCTCCGAGGAGGAGGAGGAGGAGGAGGAGGAGGAGGAGGAGGGGCAGGAGGAGGAAGAGGAGGAGGAGGAAGGAGGAGGAGGAGGAGGAGGAGGTTGGGTAGGAGGAGGAGGGAGGAGGAGGAGGAGGAGGGGGGGGGGGATGCATCGACCTCCCTTCGCCCACGGATCGCCGACCGATAGGGGTCTGAGGGCCCGCCCCGCCCGGCAGCGTGCAGATCCGAGAGCGGAGACTTATCGCCGACTTGTCGGCGATACGTCGAAGGATTGCAACAAAAAAGACAAGGATTGCAAAAAAATAAGGATTGCAAAAAAGACAAGGTTTTTTTGCAAACCAAGGATTGCAAAAAAACAAGGTTTTTTGCAATCCTTCGCTCGATGTTGACCACCCCCGGCCGGTTGCCCCCCAACGTTCCCGCTTCGAGGCTTACGAGACGGGGGCCACTGCAAACGGTGGTCAGCCAGAGCGCCAGATCTGACAAGATCTTGCAGGGCCAGGGTTGCATTGACCTGGGCTTGGGTGCAGGAGATCCTGCAGGATCTCGCAAGATCCTGCAAAGCCCGACCGACCCCGGTTGGATTGACCCGGGTCAGAAGATCCCCGACCCTTTGCCCATCGGTCGTTGACAGTAGGTATTGTTGGATTCCCATATTCAAATCTACTTTAAGCGCCTTCCTACTTCAACGATCGAGTGGCGTCACCTCTTCTGTCCTCCTCAGGGGGCGGACGGAACCCAATCTGCGGTCAACGCCTTCCTACTTCGTGTTTCTACCTACTCCTTCCGACCGATGGGTATCTCGGCCTCGAGGGGGTGCGAGGGGGCCCTCAATTTGGAGCCCTCCCTCGTCGGAGGCGCAATGCA